TTTTTAAACTTTTAGTTTAAAAATGACAAAAATTTAACATCCTACAGTATTTTTACAGTGTTTATTTTACAGTTAAAATATATATTTAATAAAATAAAGTCTGATGTTACAACTTGTCATGGATTCCTTTAACATAGGGCCCGTTTACAACAAAAATCATCTCCTGGCACTTCACAAAAGGAAAATAAAGTCCATATTATTAATCCAATTCAGTTCCATTTTTATTATGATACAATAAATGCTTTATAAAATGCCATTTATTAAACATTATTTATCTAAGGAAGCAAGATATTCATCAGCTTCCATCGTCTATGTGCTTTATTTTGCAGCATCACATCCACCCCTGCCCTGTGTGTGCTCTGGTGCACCGCTCCTCTGAGCAACGTCCCCCTGTGTTGCCCCCCATCCCCACAGTTCCCCTGTCTCTGGCCGGCCACTGGGTCAGCCAGCGCTGCGAAACCCGCCCCAACATACTYTTCCTCACTCGGGACTTCACCTTCGATCCCAGCCAGCACGTGTGGGAAGGCATCTACCGGCACTACGCCGACGCCGCCTGCTCCCAGCCCAYTTTCACCCTGAGAGCGTTGGGCCACTACGCTCAGGGGAACCCCTTCTCCAAAATCCCAGGGGCCTTTGAGATCGTCTTCAAGGTGACCCAGGTGAGAGTCACAGCCATGGACAAGCCCACCGTCAAGCTGCTGAACAGTACAAAACGAGGGAAGTGCGGTCTGGCAGGAGGCTGGGAGGTGGGCGTGGAAAAGGACTTGACCCCCACAGACGGGTGCACCGTGCTGGGCATCAAGCTGCCACATAAGGAGTATGAGCTCTTCAAGCGGGAGCTGGACCACAGGAAACACCCACTGCTTTTCACTGGAGAGAGGCCAACCGACGGGTCTAATCCTGACCGACCACAGCGGCGGCCCACCTCCTTTCAGAGTCCCATGGTGCTTTGCAGTGGAGGAGAAACACAACCCTCCTACTCAGCTTTTAACAGCAAGCAAATACAGTTAGCCAGCGGGTCAGAGAGGGTGGCACATGTGATGTTAATGGTGTTTGGATCTGCACTTTGCAGCTGGCTTGGTGTTCATTAAAAACCTTTTTTTTTTTCACAGCTTAAAACCATCGAGTGACTCACATCTGAGAGATTCATAAGGAAAATTATGAGACTTTTAAATGAACGGGATATTTTGTTTTGAATTCCTGGCTATTTGTAGGATCACTTTATTGACTTGTTGTAACTCCTATAAACCGTTGCTGCAGATCTGCAATTTATTCCAACTGATTACATTCAGCCCAGTTACTGTTTGTCTATCAGACATTTTTTTAACTAACATTTGTCCATCTCTTATCTAAGAGCTGTTCTCTCCTGTTTTCTGATGCAAAACAAAATATCAGTGTTTACATGGATCTCAGTCATTTCCTCATCAAAACATAAGCTATGGACTTATCTAGATGCAGCATAGCTAATGCACTTTGTACATATATTTTAATCTACATATTCTGCTGTCACCACCGGTCTAATGCCATTGTGGTGAGAACATTTCAACCTACTCTTTAAAAATGTGTGCATTAG